TGCCAAATGTCTTCTTTGATATAATGAGAGCAACTAAGAACAGAGCAGGGAGGAAGAGCAGGAGGAAATGATTAACATTAAACAGAGACATGAGGTGGGAGGGAAAGAGAGAGAGAAGGGAAATTGCATGGAAATGGAAGGAGACCCTCATTGTTATACAAAATTACATATAAGAGGTTGTGAGGGGAATGGGAAAATAAACAAGGAGATAAATGAATTACAGTAGATGGAGTAGAGAGAGAAGATGGGAGGGGAGGGAAGGGGGGATGGTAGAGGATAGGAAAGGTAGCAGAATACAACAGTTACTAATATGGCATTATGTAAAAATGTGGATGTGTAACCGATGTGATTCTGCAATCTGTATTTGGGGTAAAAATGGGAGTTCATAACCCACTTGAATCTAATGTATGAAATATGATATGTCAAGAGCTTTGTAATGTTTTGAACAACCAATAAAAAATAAATAAATAAATAAACATCATTTTACAAAGCCTACATAAATTTTTGCTCAAGTTCACATGAATATTAGCTAACACAATATAATATCACATCTAAAACATGACTTAAAGAAAAGCTGAAAGCTTTTAACCTTTTGTAGAAAAGTAGCAATGTACTTTTGTGTTTTACAATAAAACCTTCACACAGATTAGGCTCTCATTAACTTAAAAATACATTTAAATTGTATCTCAGTGTAAAAAGTAATATAGAACTATATATAACTTATAGATAACAAGTCCAGTTATAGAACACAAATGATGTAAATAAATCTCCAACATGTTTTTTTAAGCCTAAAATTACCATACAATTTTAGAACACCAGCTTGATATAATGCTCTTTTTTCTTACAGACTTGTATACCTGGAAGATATGAACACATTAATAGCACCACAATTACATTGATGTTTTTATATTAACCAAGTTTAGCTTTTAAAGAAATAACATAGCACAATGCTCTAAAACAGCACTTGTTTATCCAGCTGTTTAATTTCTTTAAGATTACTTGCTCAAAAACTTACACATATAACCAACTTACATAGACCTTTTTTATCACTTACTTAAACCCTCTTAATTACTTAATCATATAGACTCTTATCCAGAAACACATTTCCCTCTATTAAATCCATACCTAGAAGCTTTTAATTTTTTTTTTCTGTTAACCTTCTTTTCTGTTCACATTTTTAAACAATACTTATAAATTTCTGAATTTAAGCAGATTATTTCATAGACATTGTATCAACATTTTATTAGGGCCTTTTTTGAACACCTAGAAAAACTTATAAGCTTAATTTTAAAGACATCTTTACTTTTATCTGTTTACCCAATTTAAATTGAACCATTTGAATCACGTGAATCAAAGATAGCACTCCTCATATATCTGCCAATTGTCATATAATTGCATGATATATGTACATACACATACAGACATACAGACATACAACACGTAACACAAGTGTGCACACATACACAAGGCCTTGTAGTTTTTCTCAGGTGAAATCTCCATTGCAATGTTTAAAAACTCCACAGCTGATCAAAAATAGAACTGATCAGAAAACATTAACTTGTCTGTAGGATCAAAATCATGAGCTCAAAAAAAACAGAATTAAGAAAAAGCAAAAGTCCTAGAAGAAAAAAAATGACTGGCCAGTTATTAGTAGATACCACAAAATTTCCTTTTTGGTTTAATATAGTTTGATTTCAAGTAAAAAGACACTTTTATTCTTTTTTTTCCCTTGGGCCTCAGATCTGTCTCCTACAGAGCTCCAGGCTTCTTCTATTTGTATTTCAACTTAAATCCTGCCTGAGGTCTGGGAGGAGCAGGAAAAACTGGAATTCTGAGGAGAAGCCTCATGCCTAAGGCATTTTAACCATAAGTCACAATTTTCAGGTTTGGATGTTGGAAATTATGATACAAGTTTAAGATACAATTCTCAAAATTTCATACCTTTACATCTTCCTACAATAGAAAAACTTGCTCACACAAAACTGAAAATAGGATCTCTACCATCAGAAGAAATTTTTTTTAGGATCAATAAGCCACATCCTTTGTTCTGAAGCTCCTAAAGTAGTATTAAGTTACATTAAATCACCTGAAAAGAAATTTCAAAAGAGAACCACACACTACCATGTATATCCAAAATTAAGCTTTAAAAATTTCTAAGATTGTTGCTATTCAATGTCATTTCAATAAGCCAGACCAATGTCCCAATCCAACACTTTCTTTTCCTAAATCTTACGCACTGAGGGGAACAGATATCATATCATAATTTATTATCCTTGCCCAAGTTAATGTACTGGTACACCTAGTGAAATCTTTTCAGGCTACCCAGTTCAAAAATTGATGAAAAAAATAAAACTAAATGATTGGGAGTTACTTGCCAACTTGGAAGTAGAGTTCTTTAATTTTCCATCCTAAGTATTTAAGTTTTCTAGCATGAACTAACTGAAATCACAAACTACACAATTACTTAAACCCAAATTTTAACTGCAAGATTGTGCAATGCTTTAGAAACCCATTCAGATACCACATTGTTACAATAAAAAATCATCTTTTAGATACACATTCAGCCAAGATCATCCCCAAGAAACAATCTATAATATCAACACATTACTGCATTTATTGTCCCTTTTTTAAGTAGACAGAGGTGGAGTAATCCTTAAAGTGCAGGTAAGGAAGAGGGAGTTCCCCAAAGCAAAATGGCTTTGGCAGCTGCTGGGAGTCCCTCAGTCCTTTTACTTACAGGATTAGTTCCTCTGGTTTGGTCCGACCCCAGGCACCAGGCACTCTCCATATCTCCTAACTTTTCAGTAGTCAGCTCCCAAAAAAGTTCATCCTCTGCTTGCAATTGTCTCAAGAGTGCTAGGCTTCCCCAAGAAGGCAGAGTGGGGACTCCTCTAAAGTCCCCTCTGGGGTGCCAAAATTTGTGACTGAAAATTCGGTTCCTGCTCTTGAAGCCAACTAATGCCAATTTAATAATGAGGACAGGGTTTTGAGAAAAAGAAAAAGCGAGGTATCAAAGTTCTTAGATCCCCAGCAGGCATTTCCCTCTGCAGTGGGTGCACTCAAGCCAACTACGGAAGAAAACACTGCTTCCCTAATCTTGCTTAACAAAGGGGAGTAAAGTTTATCAAAGTTCTTTAAAACACAGCTAAAAGGGGTGTAAAAGGTGAGAACAGAAAAGCTGTTCTATTGACTTTTGGTCCCTTACAGGAGAAGCATATTAGGGACAATTTAGGCTAAAATTTAGCTAAAGTTACCTCCACACATCTAAGGCAGATTGGAACTTGGGACTCTGCATCTGTCCAAAGTAAAACAATGCCATCACACTTAACAGAGACACAGACAAAGACACACAAAGACATAGATTCCCTTTTCAGATTGTCAAAAAAACGAAAGAGGGTGCTGGCCCCAAGCCAACTGGGGCCTTCCCTTCAGACAAACGGATTGAGGGAGTATCCCCCTAAGATTGGGTCTGATGACCCTAGACTGGGAGATTAGTTCTCTTGCCAGAGTGTTGGGGTGGAGACAGACAGGACAATAGAAACAAACACACATAACACAAAATTTGCAGCGCGGCCACAGAATTCGCAGCGTGTCGTGGATTGCTACCCAGAAACTAAAGGCTCAGGTGGACCGCGGATCCGTCAGCTAAAAAATACTTTACCAAATACTTCACAAAATACTTTACTACAGGCAATCCACTCAGAACCCAGAAAGGGGCTGGGGACGTCTCCCACAAACCCCATCGGCTGCCCTTCGGTGCGTCCACCTGGACCTTTTGCCGACCACACTACACAAAACCAGGACCTGCATGCAACCAGAGTACATTTTCTTACATATCGGCAATGCCTTTACTTACCGGCCGGGTCATTATCACCTCTCAATTGGGGTGTCTGGGTAGGCTTATTAGGGGGATCCCAGACGAGCCCCCATATATTATGCTCGAATTCGGGACCCCCCAAAGACCACCAGAGACCCAAGATCGATGCAAGCAGCAAAGAGGTGTTTATTGCGAGCTAGCTCAGTCCTCCACGCCCACACACAGCAACTGGTGACGCTGAGAGGCCCCAAGCCCAGGGTTTGCAGTAGTTTTATGCATTCTTTGGAGAAGGCAGGGACTTCACATACATCATAGCATCCGTTAGCAAATCATCACACACCGTGGGAAAATCAGATAACAACTCTAAAACATGATTAGCACATTCACTGTCGGGAACAAGTTGGGTAGGGGTGATTGGTCAGTACAAAAGGGGTATTCATTTGAACTGATTGGTTTAAGCCAAGAGGGGTGTACCTGCTGAACTACATGGTTTCCAAACTTGTTATTAACCACCATAAACCACTGGGAGGGTTATCTGGCATCCCAGGTATTTCCCTGTCTCATGCTGATTGGTGGCTGCTAGGGGGCTGTTATGGATCCCCACCTAGCCCGACTGAGTCAGGGACACCTGGCGCAGCAGATCTCTCCTGTTATTTGTAGATAAACAACTTAGCAGGGTGGGAATGTGCTTAGGAGTGCTCTGTAGGTTTTTCCAAGGACTAAGGTCATGTCCCTTCCTTGGACAGGCTTTGCTCTGAGGTAGAGGCTGGTTTTTCACATCCTCATGTCATGGCATGGTATTTTATATGTTGTAATTTGATTGGAAATTGTCTCTTCAGCAGCCATGTCCTTGCTTTTGTTTTATTATTAATTTGTGTCATCTCTTCTTTCTTTGAGTCAGTCTAACTAACAATTTATGTATTTATTAACTCTCTCAAACACCTCGATGTGCATTCTCTTTCTCCTCACATAGATTTTTATCTAAAGAATAGAGTCAGCATATTCTAATTATTTAATAATTGCATGTTTTCCATGATGCTTCATGGATATTCATGCTCCCCTAGGTTATCCGAGTGCTTGACAATCACTATTGTCCTGACCATGTAACATCCCTAGCAAAGTTACAGCTTGTAAGTGAACGTGATCAAGGAATCAAAAGACTAGGCTGATGGCAACACTTTACCTGGGCCATTTTTATCAGGAAATAGTCAATGAAGTACTGAGGATCATAAACATCCAGGGATTCTTCTTTTTTTTTTTTTTTACTTTCTCCAAAAAATAAATTTTCACATAATCAATATTTTTGAATAAAATGTGATGATTTCCTGGAAGATAATCAATGAGAGTAAGAAAATTATTGCAGGCCTATAAGAGAAAATAATAATACATTGATAAAAATTATTAAACTCTAGTAAGAACTTATTGCTCTATATGTAAATACAATCTGGACCTCAAGATAGAGGTGCCATTTCTATTGAAAATATATAATTCTCTCAGCTTATAGAATGATTGATGGGAGAATTTTCTTGCCACAGCATCCAAAGTGATAATCATTTCAGAAATTAAAAACCTTCTCATGGAATAAGTGTTCTAGGAGTGGAGGTTGCCCAAAGGTAACATGAAGCCCAACTGTCCTCTAGAACAGCTAGGCAACTTCTAAAGATCATTCAAGTGTTAATTAGACAGAGTATAGTACATGCCAACTCAGGACAGAGAAAATTTGTGAGCTTTTATGATCCACACATCATAAAACCAACCATTTTGTCTCTCCTAACCCAGTGATCTTTTCCACTAGGATAACGCTAAACAACAAAAACCTCTACCCCACTCAGTGATTCCTCAAAGTTTCATTGTCCCTAATATTCTCTTTAATTCCAGAAAATGTTCTCTTCTTGAATTGAGGTATTCCTGTCAAATATTTTGATGTAAAGGCCTCCAAGTGTTGATATTGCAGGGCAGATCTTGTGGGCAATGGGAACTTTCAAAAAGTCCCAGGATGTCCACTGAGAGACAGGGTCATCCTTTGGGCAGTCACCAAAAGACTTACAGAAACAGGGCTTTTGAGATTTAAAGGGATATCCACTCACTGCAATGGGCTAAAAGGCTTTGAAGCCAGCTCTTTTTATGCACCTTCATTTTCCTGCATGTAAAATAAAGAACTCAGAAACTTTTCCCAGATATTTACTCCGTGATGCTCTTGACAAGACAGTAGATTCATTTCACAGTTTCTCCCTTTTCACGTCCCTCATTCCTCCTCAATCCCCTTCTTCTACTCCACTGATCTTTCCTCTGTTGTAAGGAAATCCTTCTTCCCCCTTCCACCCCCCTTTATTTCTTGGTTTTATTTATCTCCCCACCCCCTTATTTTGTATCAACTTCTGCATATCAGAGAAAATATTCAAGCTTTGACATTTGGGGCTTCTATAATTGAGAATGATATTCTCCAGTTCCATCCATTTACTGTCAAATGCCAAAATGTCATTCTTTATGGCTTAGTAATTGTGTATATATGCCACAGTCTTTATTCATTCATCTGCTGAAGGACACCTAGGGTTATCCCATAGTAAGGATGTGCTTTCAGTTTTTTTCTCATCCATAACAACATTGGCGATGGGTTTATTATAGATAGCCCTTATTATGTTAAGATATAACCCTTCTGTAACTAGGTTTTATAGGGTTTTTATCATGAATTTATGCAGAATTTTATTGAAGGGTTTTACTGCATTACTGAAATAATCTAGGATTTTCACCTTTGATTCAATTTATGTGGTGTATTACATTTATTGATTTGCCAAGGTTAACCAAACTTATGTCCCTGAATTGAAGTGAACTTGTTCATGGTACATGATTTTTTTAATGTCATGTGGAATTGGATATATAAGTATTATATTGAGAATAGTGGCCTCTGTGTTCCTCGAGAATATTGGTTTGGTTTATAGTGTGTGCATGTTTTTATGTGCACACAGTCCCTCACAATTGGTGAGAGGGTAATAATAGCTTCATAGAGTTTGAAAGAATTCCTTCCTTTCTTCTTAGTGGAATAGTTTTAAGATAATTGGTATTAGTACTTCTTTTAAAATCTGGGAAATTGGGTGGTGAGTCTATCTGCTTTTATTACTTCCAACAACATCATTGCTTTTTATTTGATATATTTAGGCTTCTTACAATCTCTTGGTTCCACTTTGGTAGGTTGTATGCCTAGAACTTTCCACATTATCCAATCTGTGGACATATAATATTTCTAAAACATTCCAGAATTCAGTGGTATCTGTTGTAATATGCCTTACTGTCCCGACCAGCAGGACATCAACGAGGGCCTCGAACCTAGGCGGGGAGGAATGAAGGGACAAGAGACACGAGGGATGACAGCAAGACAGGAGTTCTGATCAAGCTGCACACACAGGTATTTATATGCTGGGGATGGGGAAGCTCTCTTATTGGCATTTGCTGGATGTCTGCACAAGGTGAGATAACCGCAGGATGTTTCAGGAAGATAGGTAGCTGCAGGATGTCTCCCAGGCAGGATGTCTCTCAGGGGGCTGTTTCTTGTAAATGTCAGGGTGTTCTTTGAAGGAGAATTTCCTTCTAGCTCCTGACACCTTACTTATGTCTGATGCAGTATATTTGGGTACCCCCTTTCTTTTGGTTAGTTTAGCTAAGGTTCCCCAATTTTCTCTATTTGTTCAGAGAAGTAACCCTTTATTGCATTGATCCTTCATTCTCTGCTTTCAATCTCGATTTAATTTCTTCCTGGTCTTTATTATTTCTTTTCTTATGCTCACTTTGGAATTGGGTTTCTCCTTGTTTTTCTAATCCTTGACATGCATCATTATGTTATTTACTGGAGATCTATTTTTCCAGTGTAGGCACTTATAACTATAAGCCTCCCTCTTAAACCTGCTTTTGATGTGTCCCAAGGGTTCTCATAAATTCTGTTTCCATATTCATTTGTTTCTATGAACTTTTTAATCTCCCCTGGTTTCTTCAATGACCACTGCCTCACTGTGCCTACCATTATGAGAACCAAATTGGATCTTGGGACTCTATTTTCTTACCAATAATGCACAAAAGAAGAGAAATTTGAGAACTGACCCAGAAATCAATTACGTATTTTATTAAGAACATGCATAGAATAGATGGTTCTGACAGATCATATTCTAAATGACCATGATGTTTTACAGTGATAATGTATCAATAACTCAGCATTAGATCCATGTTATTACTTGGGGTGGTCAATACAAGTATTACAGAACACAGGAAAGAGCAGGTATATCTGTACAATGACCAGAAAGAAAAAAAACTCTATAAAGGAAGATCTGTGTTCCCTTACTCTCTATAATGAGGAGATGCAGAGGGAGAGGTCAAGAATGCATCACAGATGGGGAAAGGATGTGGACGATGCCCTGGGGGAAGGGACTGCAGACAAGAGCACAGCAGCAGCCACATTGTCTGCTCTGTTTCACACAGGAATGAAGCAGATCTTGTATAAGGGAGGAAGAGAGGCAAATCCTTTAGCTATTGGGGTGGTATCGAGTTCCTTTGGGTCAAACTGAGATTTCAGATGAAAGTGCTGTAAAATGGTAGTCAGAAATAAAAATAGCTCCATGCGGGCCAGGCTCTCTCCCACACACATACGTTTCCCTGTAACAAACAAAAAACACGACATGCTTATGTGTCATTTGGACAGTGACAAGCACTGTGCTTCTTATGTAAAAATGAGAATATAAATAAACATTTAATGAATGATTGAATGTTTGGATGGACAAATGGAAAAAGAGCAGACACTTTTTGTCCATCTTAACAAATATTTCATTCAAACAGTATTTTTGGAGGTATCAGCTTTATGCCAAACACTTTATTTAGAATTCCTACACTGGAATGACACTTTTGAATTTGAAGTTTATAAGTATTTTTTTTCTGAAAAGAACTCTGTTACTTGTATTTTCTATTCCCATTCTGATGTTCCATGACCTTGCCCTCATTCTTCAACCCTCTAATCTCACCTTTAACAGAATCCTTTGGAATCTCCAAAGAACCATGAATGTTCATCTTTTACATCATGCTAATCTTCTTGTATAAGACACAATTTCCCTTCATTCCATTCAGGACACAAGTGGAAATTCATGTCCTCTTTACACTCTTTATGATCCCCTCAAGCACTAAAATCTTGCCCACTTTTGATATCCTCAACATCATTCTCATGCTCTTTTGGAACCATGAAACACCTGGAATCATAGTTTTCCATGTCCATCTTAATTTTCTAACCTGTTGAAATGTGAACACTTGAAGAATGGTTCCTTGACTCATCATCATGGGATGTACAGTGCAACATGTAAGGCAGACATCTAGAGTCATGGAATCAAGGAAGTAGAGTCCAAGAGCAAAGAATCAGTAAACACATTGCAGATGGGAGACACATAACCATAACTGGAGGAAGAGCAGGATGCTCTGTGGTCATTGTAGGGTCTCTTCCCTCATCCCCAATTCTTCCATAAGCTCATGGTTATCAGGCAATTTCTGATATCCCTGACTGAGAACAAAAGTTCTTCTGTGGTGATTCATTGCTTCCTTAAACATGTCCTGCCTTTTCTTTTCTCCATTCTATGTGACTCTTTTGAGTCAGCTCAAACATCATTAATTATGAAGACACAAAGTCCATTTTAAGCCTCAAGTGGAATATTATAGTCCAACATCCTGGAAGCCTCCCCTGGTAAGCCAGGAAATCTTCCCTAACTCAGCGCACTAGTCATACCAGAATACAATCAGTTGTTCACGAAGCTGCTTGCCTAGAGGCCCTTTGCTATGTGATCTCATGCTTGTAGAGACTACCATCACCACAGCGGAGCAAGAGGGGTGTAGAACAAAACCATTTAGAAACCAACCAACATCATGGAGTGAGATGCCTTTCACTTAGTGGGTGAGGAATATTTAAATGAGATTGAATTTACATAAGGAAAGCTTAGCAGGGAGAGTACATTGGTATCACAATGGTGCTCTACTCATGTAAAAAACAAATGTTCTAACACCAGACGAGGCTGGAGGCTCGAGGTAAGAAGTAGCTGATCCCAAATATTTCTCTTACCTGATGAGAAAGGCATGAAGTAGTCACTTTTCCTCAAGTTGCCACAATCATCCAGAAAGTGCCCAGGGTCAAATATCTCTGGGTGGGGGAATTCTTTGTTGTCATGGAGCACTGATGTCAGTGAGGTCCATATGGCTGTGCCCTGGAAAAAACAAAGACAAATCAATTTAAACAGGAATTCAGGAGCTGAAAGGCACAATGGATATTACTTAGCTCAATCTACTGGTCTGAAAAATGGAAACTGTGTCCCAAAACAAGCAGTGACATTTTCAGAGAGAGAAACCATATGACAAAACTACATAAAGCAAAAGAGAATAAAATCAGCAATATCATTTTACAATGCCTTCCGTCTGAATATCAGTTCAAGCAAGGAGCATCAATCAAAGCTAGAACAGTTAGGTGAGTGATTTCATAACCAGGATGTTTACATAGTCATGAAGGACCATAATGTGATGTCTATCACTTACTTATAAGAGCAGAAGCTCTGTAATGGAGAGATCTGTTGGATACCACCTTCTTTCCTGAGAAAATTAGCATAAGCTATATTGAATAAGTGACATGATGTGTTCCCACCTCACCATGTGATTCAGTGACACTTTCATTGACATTTATGTAGTTTTCTTCCCAAATTCACAATGAGAATCTAATCCCTAGAAAACTACCATACAAAGCCAGCCTCAGGAATGTTTGATTTCTGTCCTGGATTCCTTGGTAAGGCGAACATGATGAAAGGAAACAAACAAGTACAGGAAAGGGAACTACGACCCCTGATTACAGGAGAGTAAATAGAAAAGATAATCACATTACATGTCTGTTCTTTAACTGGACACTAAATTGTACAAGAAAAATCTACAAGAAGATTGTAAAATTAATGGGCTAATTTAAACACAGGCTTAGGTTAGTATTATAGTGTGAATGATGTCTGAGTATAAATGCAATGTCTACTGTGCAGGAGAAAATCATCATTCTTGAAATGACTTGAGGCACCAGTCTATAAGTAAATAGCTTAATGGACAGATATTAAAGTATAAATGTACTTCTAAATTTTATTTAGATTCCAATTTTTTAAAAAAATGTACCAGTGGGAAAAATTTAATCCCCTAATATTTCAAAAAAAAAACATAAAAGAATTTGCCTCACATGCACAAGGCCCTAGGTTCAATCCCCAGCACCACAAAAATAAATAAATAAA